TGGCCGTCCCTCTAAACTTTCAGCTCAGACAAGGAGAAGACTGATCAGAGATGCAGCCAAGAGGCCCATGATCACTCTGGATGAACTGCAGAGAACTACAGCTGAGGTGGGAGAGTCTGTCCATAGGACAACAATCAGTCTTACACTGCACAAATCTGGCATTTATGGAAGAGTGGCAAGAAGAAAGCCATTTCTCAAAGATATCCATAAAAAGTCTCGTCTAAAGTTTGCCACAAGCCACCTGGGAGACACCCCAAACATGTGGAAGAAGGTGCTCTGGTCAGATGAAACCAAAATCGAACTTTTTGGCCACAATGCAAAACGATATGTTTGGCGTAAAAGCAACACAGCTCATCACCCTCAACACACCATCCCCACTGTCAAACATGGTGGTGGCAGCATCATGGTTTGGGCCTGCTTTTCTTCAGCAGGGACAGGGAAGATGGTTAAAATTGAGGGGAAGATGGATGCAGCCAAATACAGGACCATTCTGGATGAAAACCTGTTGGAGTCTGCAAAAGACCTGAAACTGGGACGGAGATTTATCTTCCAACAAGACAATGATCCCAAACATACAGCAAAATCTACAAAGGAATGGTTCACAAATAAACGTATCCAGGTGTTTGAATGGCCAAGTCAAAGTCCAGACCTGAATCCAATCGAGAATCTGTGGAAAGAGCTGAAAACTGCTGTTCACAAACGCTCTCCATCCAACCTCACTGAGCTCGAGCTGTTTTGCAAGGAAGAATGGGCAAGAATTTCAGTCTCTCGATGTGCAAAACTGATAGAGACATACCCCAAGCGACTTGCAGCTGTAATCGCAGCAAAAGGTGGCTCTACAAAGTATTAACGCAAGGGGGCCGAATAATTTTGCACGCCCCACTTTTCATTTTTTTATTAGTTAAAAAAGTTTCAAAAATCCAATAGATTTCGTTCCACTACACAATTGTGTCCCACTTGTTGGTGATTCTTCACATAAAATAAAAAATTTATATCTTTATGTTTGAAGCCTGAAATGTGGCAAAAGGTTGAAAAGTTCAAGGGGGCCGAATACTTTCGCAAGGCACTGTATATGGCACTTGGTACAATGCATGGACAACATCTCTATTCTAGTTGAACTAACATGGAACTAACATATTGGTGAAGCTGCATGAAATTTGGTTCTTATTCTTAGAAACATAACAGCACCTAAACATCCATTAACACATGCATGTCATATAACATGAGACCTCTGTAATATACAACATGTATTTTTTTCTAGCTTAATGTTTTTACAAATTATTGCAATATTTCAATGTCTGAATATTCATGAGTATATTTAAAAACTGAAATGCACATCCTAAATCAGATTAAGATGCAAGTTGCCATGCAAGCAAAAAATATTATGTAAACAAAACAAGCATGTGTGTAATTTCCTTCAGAAACCAATACATAGTTGATTCTGGGAGTCAATGACTTTAAATCAGTTTTTAGAAACAGTAAATATTTCTTTCAAATAAAAAGAAAATAAATAAAGCTTACCACAATGTGCTGACTTATCCTTGTAGCATTATTTCAATGAAGTTTAAATAAAGTTGAGAAAATCTTTTTATCCAATACAGGGTCACTAGAATTCCAAAGCCTATCCTGGCAAGCAACAGGTGCAAGGAGGGATACATTCTTGATGGGAATGCCAATCCATTGCAGGGCACTGACACAAATACACATACTGTACACGCACACCAGGGCTCATTTTTCTAGAAGTCAAGCCAGGGGACCCAGAAACACACAAACTCCATGCAGAGAGCAGCCAAGGAATTGAACTCAGGGCCCAAAGCACTACGTGGAAGCAATGCTAACTACTGTGCCACCCACTCATTTAAAAAATGTATGTCTTAAAAACTATTTTTGCAGAATTTCAAAAAGTTTATTATAACTTGAAAAATATGGTCTGGAATGACATTCTTTTGCTGTCAATGCATAGTGTAAGTGTTGTATTTAATAAAACAGGACATTAATATTTGTAACAGTTCATATAACAGCAATATTAAGGGATTCAAATACAATTTCATTAAAAAGTTTAATCATTTGTATAGTTATTAAATATACTGATTGGATATGCAGTTTTCTTGGCATTCACGCTATATTGTGGACAAGAAAGAAAGAAATGGTGAAGAAGCTGAGGAGTTTTCGTGGTACTCACAAGACAGGGAGTGGAATAGGATAGAGACACAACCAGTGTAGATTACCAGCTGTGTAAAAAATGCTACACAAATGGAAAGCAAATGTGTGAAGTCGTGTACAGTAGATTCAGCTCTACTGAATGACTACCCACATACTGCCAGTAATGACCTGGCTCACCTACTTTGGTTACTCATGGTCATGATGCAAAACGAGAGACTGTGCATATAGATGGGGGATGTGCATTTTGATGAGGAAAATCTTGTAAAATGAAACCCTTTTTATTCTATAGAGAATATTTAAAGAAACATCAACATCATTTGATTAAAAGTATGGAACAATTTGTATGTGATATATACACATTATACATGCCTTCCAATACCGCAATGCTTTTGTCTAGACCTGCCTTATATTTACAGCAAGTACTGCTTCTCTGGACGGCCTTGGCAACCAACATTGCACCTAATAAGCGCCAGCTGTAATGTTATCTGCTATTTATGTATACTGGGATACATCGGACATCACTGAAATACATAATTATATCTATACATCAGTGCTGTATAGCCTGCATTGCTACAGAAAATCTGATTTCTGAAAAGCATTCCCTCAGGCAATGAGGCAATCACTGAAGATGAGTCATCAGTGATCATGATTTTCTGTGCACTTTGTTTCCCAATTAACCTCAGCAAATCGTAAGGAATTAATTATCCATACACTGTTAAAGCTCTACCACACTTCCACAGATATGGTACAGTACATTACAGATGGTCTATATATTTGATTAGATAAAATGTGCCTGCCTGCTTGGCTAGAGATTTGTGGCATTGCTTTTCAGGGGTGACAACACTACACTTCATTCAACAAGCACCTATAATTTGTAGTAAATGGAATGTCAAGACAAAGAGAGAATTAGGTTCCATCTCACAGCTGTGAGATGGTAATCATGAGAATTAGGTACTTGTGACCATCTACACCTATAAGAACAAGAACAACAAAAAAATCATTTTTTTTAGTCTTGAATTGGCACTGTTAAAAAAACAATCACCTATGCTTGATGGACTATAGATAAACTCACATCCATATTTATTATTGTGGTAGGGGAAAAGTAGACTTGAAGTAACCTAATACTGTACATCAGATTACAGTAAAGTGGTCAAGGTGTGAACTGGTTTGTCAAGATTCCTCTCCTAGTATGTTTTAGTGCTGCAACTTCAGCAAAGTGAAGGGATTGTAATACAATTACATGGGTGGAAACTCACTCCACCCATCCACTCCTTTTTTCTCCATAATACTTCACTGAGGAGTGGCACTGTCTGGTACTCTTTTCTCTTCCTCTCTGTTAAATGCTTTTGCATAATTTTGAATCTTGTACTTGCATGAAGTTGTACTTTGAATCTTGTACTTTCCTGGACATCTTATACCATCTAGTAAATTAAACTGAGAATCTTAAATCAACTGCAAATTACATATAACTGATATCAACTGATAGCAGAAAGAAACATTTTCTCTTCACTAAAACACAAAATACCCTTCCAGAATCCTGCCAATTACACAAATCATACACAGCTTCAAGCAACATTCACATAATTACCCATACAAAATACTGCTAGAATAATTTCAAACTTTACCAATATTACAATTACTGTTAAAAATGCAAGTAAGAACAGCACCTTTTAAAAGTATGCTTTTCAATACATCAACAAGACCTCTCATAAATCTAGATAAATTCAAGACTTCTTAAAATAAATTGTCACTATATAACCTTTTGTTATGCCACCAACCCATGGTATCAGTTTAAAGATATCTGTGCTTGTGCAAACATGGTGAAACACTGAGTGCTACTTGACCCATTCCAGGAGGCCATTCATAAAAAAACAGCCTGGGTTGTGCAAAATCTTATGCAATGATATATTTTATTTTGTAGCCTACAAAATTCCTAATTCCTAATCCAAATTCCTATCAATATTGCCTCTGTTACCATCTTTGGAAGAATTGTTATTTTGAAGCAAGTAACCACATTGCACAGATCCACCTTTTGTAATTTGTGTCCAAAACTTTATATAATAATAGTTATAATAGAAATAATAGAAATCTAAGAAATTAGTTTAAATTCTTCTTAAGAAATTGCATTTACAATGATAACAAACTGAGGTACTGTTTGTGCCTTCCATCTAAAACCAAATGAATCAGTGAGGGATGGGTTGATAATATCACATTATATAGAAAACTGACATGGACATGGAAAATATCTACTAAATTTTCCTAAGTAATGCTGCTAGTCTTTTGTATTCTTTATTGGAAGGTTTTGAAAAACCATTTTGAAAAACAAAGAAGGAACACAATTAGCTTCTTATAATACTATTCAAAATATATCAGTTTTCTATACATTCTTATTGACAGTGCAAAAATGTCTCTTTTAAGTATAAACATTATAAAAGAGGGCTGATTATGCTCTGATATATTACATATACTGTATATATATAATTTCAAAGATGTGTAAAAGGCTGAGAGCCCTACCTCCTGGCCATAGGACAGGGAGACTGGGACCCCCATTCCCCACAAAAGCATCCAAGTGAGGAAGAGGAGTCACATGTGTCATATATGGGAATCTGAGGAACTACTTCAGGATTAGTTGTGGGTTATGTGGCAACTGAATTTAAATAGTCCTGCTGCACTCATCTCTCCCGAACGTTTGTTACAAATCCATAAATTGAACAAGTCTATTACTCTTCCACAGCTCAAACTATTGCTTTTGCCAAAATGATCAATGCTCAAAATCTGTTTGTCAGAGTAATACCCAAGCACTTCTTTAGCTCATGGAACAGTTAATGAATTCCTACCTTCTTAAGGAAACTCTGAAGGTCCTTCTCTGCCCAGAGGTCATGCAGCAGGAGTGCAGCAGCTTTACTGGCTTTTGGAAAGTTTCTGTCAGTTAGAGAGACTCCTCATTAAATTTAATTTCAACCAAATAAAATGCATGCTTGACATTTCACAAATCTTGGATGAAAAATTTAAGTCAAAGACCACTGGCTTTTTAGTTGTAAATAAGTAAAGGGTGCCTGAGTATTAAAAATAATCAGAAACGTTTAATGTTTAAAGGCAAAAGAAAAGAAAATTGTTTCGAAATAACCGTTGTCTAGCCAGGTTACTTGTTGTACTTAATTATCATGAGTAATGACTGAATGTGGTCCTCACAAATATCTCACCTCCAGTCTTGCCAAGGCAACTAAGATTACATGTATGCTTTCATAAAACCAATGTGGAAATATATCCTGTGATTGTAATTTACTACAACTGGATTAATACTTTTGCTTCTGTTATTATTATTGCACTGGCAAATTACCTTTTCTAAAGTAATAGGGCAATATAAGTTACAAGAAGAAATACCTTTTCTGAAATTACACAGATGAATATTATAATATGTACTATTTAGTACATACTACAACTACTGAACATATACATCGTATATAAATATTCAATCAAAAATAGAATAAAATTACAGAAATAATTTCATTTAATCAACATAACATGATTAAATCTTATAAAAAACAATTATATAAAATGTATAAATTATGTATATAACACATGAAGAAAGGATCCATATGCTACTGTAGCTTAATGATCCAACATCACTAAGAAGTCAAGAGGAATACACAAACAGAAATGAAGTCTCCCAGCAGTTCCATGGGGCACCTGAGAGAAGAGGAGGGAGTGAGTCCAAGCTCAAAGGAGATGGATGAATGCAATAGGAGAGACAGACAGAGATGGCAAAGACAAGTCAGAAGAGGAAGAGTAGAATGAGTTCAATATTTGGCAGGTCTGAAAACAGAAGCAAAATGAACTAAAGCAGAATGAGACACGGAGCCACAGTAGTGAAAAAGTGAAAATGCAATAAAATAAGAATAGATTAGAGAATAGAACAAACCAGCAATTTTGATAACACTGTTATTGATCTTATAATAACAAATTATAGTCAGGAATTTAAAACTGATTAACATTTTCTTCCATGTGTCTAGTGGCAGTCTCACCTATTTTTGCTGATATCATTCAGTGAGCTGACCAAGCCAGTGTTCAGCACCCTCTTTCCCATTTCGGGCACTGACATTATCAGGTTACGGGCAGTGTGACATGTTGCTGCTAGGGTATCATCAGAATCAGCTCCATTCTTTGTCCCAGAGCTAAGAAGGCCAGTCAGATTCGGTAGGATACTTCGAGCTAGAACAGCCCAAAAAGAGCAAAACTCAGTACGAATATCACTTCACATTTGAGTGGTTCCTCCCTGTTATACACACTCCAGAAATTTCAGTCCAGGGATTTTGAACCCTGGTACTACAGAACCTCATCAGGTATGTGTATTGATGATTGCCATTAAATCAGCCATTTCTAAAAATATGAACATTTATAACTAAAACTAAGTACTCTTCAGTTCAAAAGGACCAGTGATCTCTTAATTGAATATATTACTTGCTTGACTTACAGGTGTTGACAATCTTAAGATGCAGGAGCTATAAGAATAACTGTATTTGGGCTCACTGGGACTAGGGATGGAAATCCCTGCTCTGAATAATATTATAATTAGCATTAAAAGAAACTTATTACTCATAATGCAAAAGGTTATCCAGAAATGAGTCTTTTTTATAGCATTGCACTTACGTTGTGAACAGAGATGATGTAGATAATAGATATACATAGATAATACTGTTTAACATTTGTCATTAACAGGGTTGGTAAACAAGGTCCCTACCGTGAAATTCACAAGCCACAGTCTGAAGTAACCATAACTGTATATCTGTGATGCAAGCTTTGCACTAGTTTGCAAATAATACCTTGAGGATTCTGTCTCATTTCTCTCGGAGAGCACATATTTATTCACTGGTCTAAGCTTTAGATGTCACATGTTGTTCCAGTTCACCCTATACAAAATGTTCAATGGGACTTAAGTATGGGGCTCAGGGCATCCCTGGCCCAACTGTCACATAATGATCAAGCAATAAATCCATGTTTACACAAGCAGCATGAGGATATGTGTTGATCTGCTGGAATAAGTCAGCAGGAAGAGTAGCAAGTATGATCCCACTTATCTTGGTGAGGTATCATAACTTGTTGTTCCAGATCATGCTTTATTATTGATGGCCTGTGTTTAGCTGTAAACACTATCTTGCTAGGTCAGAAACTCCTGCCTAGGGGTCCCAATGCTGTAATTGAGCTCTCTTTATGGGGTGGTGTGCTTTGAGGTGTGTTGTGTGTAAGAAAATGCCACAAGTTTCACAATTAAAATGCAATGTTAATCTATTTCCCAGATGCACTAGTACTAGAAGTTACAGTTTTGCTCTGGAAAACAAACTAGCATGAATTAGCAAAATACCCTCAAAATACAATACTTAAGCAATGTAATTTTCTTCAATATCTCAGAAAGATGCAGTAGAGCACCATAGTTCTTTGAACTCTTTAAGAGAACTAGCAATAGTAACATGGAATCTGGCTTTTACTTCAGAAGCCTCACACCCTTATTAAAAGAATGGCTTTTAAAGGAAACTTGTGGATTTTTTCTATAGCAATAATCAAGACAAATGAATCACCAGATACATTATCTCTTCCTACAACAATGTATTGAGCTTTGTTTTGGTTTTCTTAATTACAATTTGGGAGAAATAAAGTTAAGAATGGTAATTACTTTCCCACTCGGGTGAAAAGCAAATGAACAAACTTTGTTCCCTCTACATCACAAAATGGTGCTGTATGGAGCAAAGTGAGAGTCATCTGACTTTTGAGTCACAGTCCATAACCAGGCATTTTACTCCAAATTTGTTTTTGTATTGTAATGTTGTTGTGTGTGAAGTTAAATACCAAAGAGAAAAACACAATTATGATTGCGTATTTCTAACAGGTTTAAAAGGTAGTTTCCCTTTCCTTCACCACTACTGTCGTGACTCCTGTGGAAACATGGATCTGTTGGTAACAGGTAAGTGCATATTTGCATTTTTTGTACATAGGCCTGCACACGTTTTTTTGTGAACACAATTTCTAAAAAAAAGAAAGCAGCACTAATTTTCTGTCATTGGCTGCTAAGACTGTGTAGATTTTACATTTTTCAAATTATGTAGTCTATTATTGTATTTCTTGTCTGAATTTAATAAAATTGTGTACTCATATAGCTACACAAAAGAAAGATAAAGGTGACTTTTACACAAAAGAAGGGGAACAGAATTTGACAAAAGCCTTTTTTTCTTGGTCTTTTCTTGGCAAAATGTGTTCTCCTCTTGATACTGTCCCCATCTCAAAAGCTGAGAGACTCACCCATGGTGGTTTGTAGGCCTGGGGTCCGGGACATATTCCCCAGCAGAGAGCTGGCAGTTTTCTGCAGGCTGGGGTTAGATGACTGAAGCAGCCGAGCGATCTCTGGTAGTCCATTCAGTTTCTGCACAATTGTCTGGCTCATTACATTGGACACCTCAGAAAGAGAAATGTGTTTAGAATTTCCCAGTGCTCTTGTGTAGCTAGGTGCCACAGAACACATTTTTTCTACAGATCATATAGCAACCCACAAACCCCTTTCTTACTATTCCCTTGTTGGCAGTAAGATTCTGGAGAGCTCCAGCGCAGGCCTCAAGAGTTGAGTCCTTGTTGCTGTTCTGCAGAAGGGACAGATACATCTGCATGGCTTTGGAATGGAAGAGCCAGCCCACTCCCTTAGGATTGTTGTCCTCCATCACTGGATAGTCAAATGTATTCTTGATAGAGAGGAAAATATTTTTTGTTTTATATTTAGAATGCAGACAGAATACTTCTGCACTAAATAGCTTTACATCACTTTACACAACACTTCTTCTAAAAACCCAACAGCACAGAGTTAAGAGTCTACATTTTCTTTGAAATACAAAAATCTGCAAATAGACATATTTCCATTCATATTTGATTTTATTTTTTAAAAAGCACAAACTTACTTATTTAATATCTTCCCTTAACTCTTATTATATGCTCCTAACAATGCCAGAAATAAAAGTAAATCTTTCTTTTAAAGAGATTAACTTTCCCAGAAATGGAACCTTAATTGTTGGGTATAAAATCATGCTCTTCTGAAAGCAACATTACTTATGCTCTTATCTTCTGACTGTTTTGGGAACATATAACAATTCATTTACTAACTTAAAAAAATGAATTGGTGACACACCTCTTTACTGTTCTCATTACAATGCCATCCCTTCAAAACATAGAAAATAAATGAAACACAAACAATACTGTACACCTGGAAGTTACCTCTTTAAAGATTGGATATTTAATGGGTATTTTAGCAGTAAGCATGTTATTCAGTTTAATGTACACCCATAAGGTGCATCAATTTGGACACAACTTTGCAAGTCAAGTTGTAAAATATCAATCAACATGAGATGTGACTTGGAAGCAATTGAAAACACAGCAAATAAACACATAGCCATGCCCAACAGGTATTTTCACAAGATTATCACCAAAACCTCCTACAGTACCTACTTCCTGCAACTATATTTTTATCAGAAAGCACCGCTGTTCCTTAACATGTTGGAGCAGTCTCCATGCATGTAATTGTAACATCTATATATTCAGTCATCTCATCTATCAGTAGAAATGATTTAACTATTTATAAAGCAGTTTTTAGAAAAATAAGTACTACACTGTATAATTAAATTTCAACTAGGTAGCTGTGTCAGCATGTGTAGACTGAAAAGGAACAAGTAAAGGTTTATTTCATGCTGAAAAGAGAAGAAAAGAAACAATGTTTCAAATGTGAAGCTGTCTGAAGAAGGACCTGAAGGAGGCTCCACAGATGAAACGTTATGTTTCTTTTTTTTTTTTCAGCATGGAATAAACCTTTACTTGTTCTTATTACATTTGATGACTGCTGTGCTACTTTTATTAACAAAATTTCTTTTAATTATAATTTTAACTATATTGCTCAATATTACATAGGCAATACACTCATATATAATGAAATCTAAATCTAACTCTCTAGCATGTCTAATTAAAAATCTCTAAATCTAACAGAATGTTTAAGTGTTGTTATCCCCACTTTCTAGGTAAGTTTTCATTATGGAGGCATGTCAATGGTGTTTAACTCTGCTTTTGAAGAGTCACTTTTCTTTGCAGTCACGTGAAAAATACTCGATAACTGATATAAGAGAAGTTCTACATCAACATTAGTGATGTGGATACTTCCAGTGCACAATAATGTAAATCAGCTGGTCATGCCCAGTAGGGATGCACCTGTACACATTGAGGACCATGCTGCTGAGGTCATACTGAGGACCTCCTGGTGAAGCATGTGTGTGGTCCCCAGGGTGGAAAGGCCAATATAAGAAAGCACAGACATTCCTATTCTCAGTGTTTGGCCAATCAGTCAATCAACAATCTGAGCCAGCACGTGCCTCAGGTTGTTTAAAAGGTCTTGCTCTTGCAAAAGAATGGTTCATTTAAATGTGATAGTTATTGCATTCTGATAAGCATGTTTTTTTAAAGACCTGATTTCCTTCAAAAATAAAACATTTGGATGATTTGCACTAAAGTGAGCATTCATTTCCATGTTTTACTTCTGTTGCTCAGAACTTGACTATCACACTGATGCCTTCTTAAATAAGTTAAAGAATGCAGTAGCTTGGAAGACATGAAGGCTGTAATATCCTAAGGGATTGTCACTGTATACAGGTATATACATGCGTATTTATATAATTCTGTTAGCTTGACAAGATTTTTTTTCTTTATATTACATTTCTTCTGCATGAACAAAGACTTGCTTCTTGGTCCTTTTTAATCTAGACTATATTAATATTGGCCAATGCCCAAGGTCACTGTCTTATGTTGCAAACATTATAGCACCTCTAATCAACTATACAGTGGAGGGACAAAATTGATAATTGACAACATGATGAACACAAACTTGGATCACAAACTGGTCTACAAGTAGGAACCGGAAACAGAACAACAACAACAACATCTGAAGTGTGTATATTCACTAGTGACTATTTTAAGTCTGAATTGTCAGGCAACTAAGGAAAATCTTGTGGAATATACTGTTTTCCTGTAAAGGGAGATTATGCTGAAAATACAGTAGGTGTAATATTGTGACCATGAAATAAAAAGTTACAGTACTGCAGACATTTAAGCCTGTACTTGTGTAAACAACTTTGGATATATATTAGATATAACATCTCTTACCATGTCCTGCTCAATCTTGCTGCTTTGACCACTGAAACAGCCAACTGCTGAAGAATTTTTGCTGGCCATGTCTCTGGTAGGTGAACTGGCAAGAGCATTGATTGTGGTGAAGCTGCTAGGGGCCTCAGTCTCCAGCTGATACGTTAGGTTATGCAGGATGCACACACAGTTCTCCACAGACTGAGCCAAGAATGAGGAGAGAAAATATTAAACCCAGAAATAGACAGCCAGCAATAAGCTCAATAGGCACAGCCATTAACTGTACAAAACACATGCAGCTCCACCCAGCAAACTTAATCAAAACACAAAATGACAGTGTTTGATGAGAAGCCTGCTTTCTGTCTTAAAATCCCACAGTCTCTCCAATTTAGATTTGCATAGTGGCAGAGACATTTTCATTGTTTTTGCTCCAGAGACAAAAAAATTTGCCCCGGATTTTCTGAGAATAACTGTAAAAGTTGAAATGTGCAAATTTTGCAAAAGACAATGTGAATATGCAAAAACATGTATTTTATTTTTTTTCACTTTAAGATAATTTTAGATTTATTTTACTCTTTTGATATTCAACAAATGATAAGCTTTACACTAGAGAAAACATAATATTTATTAAGAATGATTAAGAATTATAGGTGATCTTCCAAGTCCCAAGACTTTCCTCATCTTAACTTAAAGTACTGTACATCAAAGAAATAAGATGAAGAACTATTTTTGAAAATCGTTGCAACCAGTTTATGCAACACATATGTATGCGCAAATACTGTATAAACAGAATCAATCTTAAAGTAGGCAATTATAATACATTTTTGCAATATCAGTTTTTCTTAAGGAACATTCAAGTCCTCTCTTGATTCAGCCAGTGGATAAAAAGATCTGTTTATCCAAAATTTGTACTTAACGCTTTGCTTTGTCACATATACTGTATATTACATGATTTTCACTGGGTTGCCAGGAAATAAAAACTTAATTTACAGTTATTATTGTAGCAATTGTCATGGCACTTTAATTTTTAATAACAGTTGTATAGCAAGGTTTTACTGAGAAACAGAGAAGCAGGCAACAGTTTTGTGGAAAAGAGAGATGTATTGCGTGAAAAAGTTTTGCACACAGCAGTGCCATGAACACTTTTAATGGGTAGACACAGATGTTATCAAGCCTTAATGTGGTTTGACCAGTTATGAAGTAAATTCTAAGGCTTTGCCAAACAACATGAACATTTACAGTTCTTTACTCAGGAGCAATGAATTTTTTCAATAGGTAAAATGTAACTACAGTACATTTACAAAACTTTAACTAAATTTACTCAAGCATTTCAAGATATTTGAAATCCAGACAATTGAAACAATGAATTATTGCTAGGACTTTGAAGACTTGCTCCAATAATACTAGGAGTAATTAAAATAGCTAACGCAACACAAAAATGTTGACATTTGAGATAAATCCAAATAGTTTCCAAATACAGAATAAGTTTTTACAGAATAAGATTAAAATCATCAAATTTTATAAAAAGAATGAAAAAACTGACAATTATTTATGAAACAACTCCAAACTTAGGTGACAGCCATGCTTACAGTGTGCATTATAAATGATGTTGCATATTTTCAGTGTTTTTTTCATCACATGATATCCATTTAAACTAGCCTTTGGATAATTTGAGTTATGTTATTATGTTAATTAGGAAAAGTGATCTGTTTTTAACTTATGATCACAGTGATTGATGTTTTGCCTAATTAATTCTTCAAGTAGAGTTTACAGGTGATACTTACACTAACCTTAGAGCCCATCTAACCTGCATTTCAGGTCTTCACTTTACAATCCATTATACATGCACTGTACATTGTTGCACATTTATTTTATACAGTTGTAAAATTAGATATTTCAACCATATCAGTTTAAAAAGAAAAGAAATGTACTGTATGCAGTGTATAATCTCCACAACTATGATATTTTAAGAATTATGGTTCATAATTATATAAGATTCTTTGTTTAATTGGGATATTTGTTACACAGTACATCTACTTAACCTCTTCCTTAAATAAAAAATGCAAAAAATAAGCTTAGCTATTACATATGGATAAAAATTTGTACAAAGATTGTGCTAAATCAGACTGCTGTGAAGAATCTCCTCATCTTATCACTAGCCTTACAAAAAGCTTACCACCTGCATTATCTTACTTATATTTTGATAGATGGGTTATTCCTTGCATGCATTTTAGATTTTTAGTTTTGCAGAAATAACAGAAGTTGTGTAACTTGTCACAAACTTGGTCTGAATAACATGGTGATGGAAGTGGGCCATAGAACTAAACAAATTTTTCACTAAATTGAGAACTATGTTTTTTGGGCATTATGTTATTTGGAGGTGTGTGCACTTACAAATTCTACTAAATGTGGAAAGCCCCTTAACTTGATAACTTAAATGCCAGTTGTCATCCTAGCCCACCTTGTCATCTGGCCTGTCGGCGCTCACACAGGCCTGAACATAGCTCATCAGAGAGTCAACCAATCCACGGCACTTCCTCATGGTTTGGCGTTCACCCTGTTGTGCAGAGCTTAGGTTTCTGTTGCAGGAAAGGCAAAGATAAATTAAGAGCACATATATCACTTCAGATGTTTGAAACAATTACTCAAAATTTAGAAAAACAGTATTGTCATGATATATAAAATATACTACAGCAGCTACACTTTATGTCAATGGTGTCTCCGAATAGTATATACTATAGAATATGTGCACTGAAGATAAAGTAGTCTAACCTTATCAATTTTGGCAAGTTTTGACTTCTCTACACAGTAGAGTCCGTACAAAACCCTTTCTCTGGTTGTAATTTGGCCTTTTTGCTTAGATTCAGCAACTAAGTATAATCAGTGATGGAACTGGCAATCTCCATAGATGATCTTGTATTCTTCCTACATTGTGACATTAACAACTACAGATAACGTATCCAAAAACAAAACACATAGGGCAGGTGTGCAGAAATGTTTCGGGTTCCTTTGCCACTGGAAACTTTCCATGACAAAGGCCATCTGTACAAACATGTCAATTACAAACAAATGAAAAATATTATGGAAAAGGAAGTGCTTCATAAAATGGTTTAAAAAAATTACAAAAAACATTTTTAAAAGGACTGATCAACTAATTACAGACATATAATTACGTGGGTTTGGAAACAATTATTATAAATGAATGAAAGGATCTTCTATGTGGAAAAATACCTTAATAATCATAGATTCAGAAAAGGGAGGTCTTGATAAAATTCCAAGACTGGGCAGACACTTGGCAGATGATGTTTAATGTAGACAAGAAAAAAATAAATTATAAATACAAAAGGGGAAACACTTAGTTAGAAGAGGATGCTTATGAAAGACTCAACAGTTTATGTTGACTTTATTATTAGCAAAAAAGGCTAACAAAGTGTTAGGATAATAAAATCAAAAGTTTATAATTCAAATCAAGGCATGTTGTATTAAACCACACCCGAAGAAGGCTCCACGGCCGAAACATTGTGTTTTCTTTCTTCTTTTTTTCAGGATGGAATAAACCTATTACTTGTTCCTTTGCAGCCTACACATGCTGACGCAGCTACCCACCTGAATTATGTTGTATTAAAATTGTGTAACACAATTTTACACAATGCTCTGAATTCAGTCCGGAGAAGAGAAACCAGATTTATTTTATGACTTTAGAGAATGTCCTACACAGACAGTCTGAAATAATTTAACCATTTTAGTCTTGAACAGAGAAGACAGCTAGGGAACCTTGTATAAGTACATATAATCCTCAAAGAGGATTAGGGCTGTGAAGGGCTGTATTAGGTTAGGGCTGTGAAAACTAAAGATTTCTCCAAGAAGATTAAAGATTTCTCCAAGCCTATTGTTTCTCATTTCATCTCTGACAGCCATGATCACACTAATCTCTCTGTTTAGGTTCTCAAAGCTGGTTTTCCTAATTCCAACATCAGAAAGACTACCAAAACTAAAATTATCCTGCAGCTGGGATCACACCTTTCCCCTTCTCTCAAAGACAGACTATGTTCTTCTAAATTCTCTCTATTCATTGTAAGTTTCATTTCACACCTCTCTTCACCTATCCTGACTTCACACTACATGATTGGCCACTCACCCCTCCTCTCTCCCAGCTTTTGTTCTCCTGCTACATTACCTTTGCTTACTGCCCTGTCTTTCTCACACCTGAAGAAGGCTCCATGGCCAAAACGTGTTTTCTTTCTTCTTTTTTCAGCATGGAATAATCCTATTACTTGTTCCTTTGCAGCCTACGCATGCTGATGCAGCTACCCACCTGAACTTATTTTCAAGGAGATTGACAAAGTCAAACCAGTGGACTTTTTCAGAATTAACATGAAGCAGACAACAGAAGTGAAAAGTATACAGAAGTGCATTTAAAACTGCTAGCAGCAGGCACTTCTTCGTACAAGGGGTTGTGGAACAAGCTACCTAGCCATGTTTTAAAATACTGATGCCCCATCTTGCTTCAAAAAACAGCTGGATAAGATTCTTGTGTCAATAATACTTTATATAATACCAAACAACTGTTCTTTTATTATAAAGATTTGATTTAATCTTTCAGGATAATTAAGGATAAAGAATTTTTAGAAACTTTTAGAAAAAAACAAGAAGCTGCTTCAAATGAATGTTTAATCGGTTCTTGAGCTTTCAGCAGCTTCTTTCAGGTATACTATATTCAAGAAAGCTAAAATTGTTTTGATAGTTATAAGCCTAAAGTAAACTAGCAAGATGAAAGTGATGAAAGAAAGGAAATAATTGTCACAGAGCTACTTGTACTGCACTAGAGAAACAGAATTGTGTTTAACTAATGAAGTGTGAAACTAATACCTTTAAAAAAATAAATCACCCACTGACATACTTGTGACTCCACAACTAGAAATCCTACTCTGTCAGATGTCATAGGGAAATCTTTAGGTAGAGGCCCAGGTTGAAAATTGTTCGTGTACAGTTCTGAGGAATGGGAGGTGGTTGAGAGACAGTGGATCAAATCTGACTTGATCCACTGTCAACAATAAGGTTACTCTTTTTCTGTAAATGAGACATCACCAGCATGTGAAGTCATCTAAGAAAAACATGTAATTCAATGCATGCTAAAGTTGTGCTATATTCTCTGCAAATTTATAAGAAAATCTATAGTATTTAAAATTAATATATAAAAGAACAGAGTTCATATTTCAAATCCAAATGATTTGTAGAATTTACAAAAATGGTCATAGCCTGCATTTGAACTTGCCAACTTCTGCTATAGAGAGCAGAATGCATCCTGACTAGGGGCTTTTACTGGATGTGTCACATATAAGCCCGAGATATTTTAAAGTTTTTCTCTGGAAATCCTATCTTTCAAAATCACATGGAATTAATCTCCCGTTTATTTTGGAATTTTCCATTTGTCTAAGGAAATGCTTTTTTAATATAGAATTTCATGTAAGAAAATAATATATAACCTGATATGTTAAAGCAGTGTTTAAAAAAATGAACTATATTCAGTAATTAGATCCTGCTCTTCATACACCACTGTAAAATTCCATCTTAAAATAAATATGTTGTGGGCAGCATGGTGGTTAACATTGCTGCTTTTCAATGCTGGGTCCCTGGGTTCAATTCCTGTGGTGCTATCTACATGGAGTGTGTTCTTTGTAGTTGTGTTCTCTGTGGGAACTAGCTCTGGTATAAGTGTGTGCAAGTGTGTGCAAGTCTGTGCCCAGAGATGGTGTCCAGTCCAGGGTGTATCCCATTGTGTTTTGCACCTATGCTACCTGAGGTAGGGTACAGGCCACTGTAAGTGGTAATGTGATGTGGTGAAAAAATATGATTTGTTGTTATACGTGACATTGTATGTGGCACAAGAATCACTTAGGTTCTCACCTAAGACAGCCTGTGGCGTTGTAGAACATTTCTGGGTCCATATTGCTATTGACACTGGTCATCTGCTCTGCTGATCCAGCAAAGGGCACCACAATATTTTCTGTAAGCACTGGAAGAGCAGTTTTGATCAGCTCAGGCTTAAGCTCATCTGCTGAAGACAAGTTCCACAGGAGGCCTGAAAATAAATTCAGACAATCAAATCAGAGAAGTGAGGACTGAAGCAATTTATTCTGAGTGAATGTTAAATTGCTTTGTATTTGCCTAATGTTGGTACTGATTTTAATAGTTTTATAACTTTAAAAAACATTGGGCTATAAAGCAGTAACATTACAATATGGCCTTTTTGATATAGCTTTAAATTTGGCAAATGCCAAAGATCTCCCCTATGAAGATACAGCATATGAAATATATTTATAAAATGAACCCATTTATTGGCTGGGCAACATTTGTTAGAATTTGTCCGTTTTCTCTAGTTAGAATGACATTTTGAAATACACTCTATAGTCATGTACACTATTTTAAATATTTTAACCAACTATCTATGACACATAATATAACAATTGTTTTGCCCTGACAACACTAAAAGATGTCAAACAAAAGATGTCATGACATGCCCCAGGTTACAGAGAGAGTTCGGTAACAAGCAATTTTAACATAATTGACTTTAAAGTATTACAGGGTCTAGGAGATTTTAAAACCAATAAAATACTGAAGCCTGACAGTATTTCCCTATTTGTACTTAATATAACAAGGAATGTTATCCATGGATCTTTAACTGGAATATTTCAACTGTCACAAAGGATGGGATAGATCTATAGATTGGAGAATTGCAAATTTAATAATTACAATTACAAAATGGGTTAAAAAAACTGAATCAGGAAATTACAGACCAATCAGTTTGGTACTTTTATGGAAAAAGACTGAACTAGCAATAATTATAAAATATAAAGACAACTAATGCCGATTTAGAATATTTAGATCTAACTAACCCAATTAATAAAACAAAATGTGCTAGATGGGCTTCTTCTTTAGATGATGACTTCTTCTCATTTGTAAATTTCTTTATTCAATGCCTTGAATAAACAGCAAGAATAGATGATAGAGACTGAAGTCCTGGAGGGTAAAATGTTGTCTGGGTTTATGTCCCATCCAAGCTCTCAGTTAAAAGGTTGGTGTAAGTATTTAAGCATCTTAATAATTGTAAAATTCTAACCAGGCATTTTACAGATACCTTTAATGAAGCTAATGTTTTGATTAATCATTTGTAAAAGATTTTACCAAACATGATTCTTGGATTGGCAAAACAAACAGGAAACATTATGAGCTCCAAGGAATGACTCTGTCACCTCTGCTTTAAATTATCCATCCATACAAACAGAGAACATATAAGGTTCACACAGATACTGTAATGCCCCAGTTGAAGCCAGAGCCCTAGTGATACAAGACTGCTACTCTAAGCACTGCAGCACTCTGCCGTCAGCTCTAAAACATGTGGAATATATTTGGATTTTCAGAAGCTTTCAACAAAAACATCTATAAAAAGTTGAGTATAAAATAAAAAGCCATATACAGTACAGTAAATCCAAGATAATCCATGCACATGAACTGAACATGTAAATAGAAAACACAGATTCATCTTAAGGGATACAACCTCCAAATTCACTGATCTTAGTAGTGGATAGCTATAGTAATTCACAGAGTTCCATTAGTCCTCCTAAACTGTGTCAGTGATTTAGATTTTGGAACAGTAAGCTAAAAACTAGTTAAATATCCAGATGATTAAAAAAATAGAGAGAAGTGGTAAACAGAGAAGGGAAAAAGGGATTTACAAAAAGATTAACATTTGGTTTGGGCAGACAATTGGCAAATGAAATTTAACACTGACAAGTGCAAAGTAGAAGTATGTATTAGGTGCTGTTTAGGCCATTATTCAAACTTTACCTCTCATACACACACAAAACATTCTCACCTTCAGTTGTTTTACCTTGCACATACACATAAAAGGCACAATGTGATTAACTGAAAAAAGTTATCAACAAGCTTTCTCATTTTCTGTTGTGCTCCAAGATGGATGAAAGAAATCAACCAACTGCAACAAGCACTAAGTCAAGTCGTAGCTTTAGTTAATAACATCTTAGCCACACCAGAAGCATTAGCTTCATTGTCATTGGTTATGCCTGTAATGAGTGTTCTTCGGTCAACGCATCATGCAATTATCGATGCTGAAACTTTATTTCAACGTAATTTCTTTGGGCTTTGTATAATACAGACTGTCTCTGAGCTGATACTGGTGCTAACGTTCCCATCCAAGCTTTGGCACCACCATCATTAATTCGAAATAAAATATTTATTTCGGCGTCGGTAGTTGCATGCTCAGACCCAGCACCATGGGAGGGCAAGCGGGGGTGTCGCCCCCGCAACTGAACTGCCCCACCCCCTCAGTTTCGGACAAAAGGATTTTTGAACACTTTCACTTACTTAACTTGCACCCTAAATATAGTTGTACTTTGTCAATGGTCAGATAACTATACTAACCCCAAATTCACAGTTACTACATTGGACTGTTTGATGTGCAGGAAGGCTATCTGTCCAGGAACGGCACATATTACATAGTGTCTATGTAATTGGGTGTCAACATTATTACGATCTTGTTTGCTCAATTGGACCAATTCCTTGCAGTAATTATTCCTTATACTTACAATCATCATAGAACTAGGATTGTAGTTATAGAAGTTTTTGCTTTATTTTGGTTTTACAACTATTTTTTCTTAATGATTTAGAACCTCATTACCGTCAATGTATCTGTAAAAATGAACGCATATTAAATTTTGTCACTTCAGGCAACAATAATCGCGAGAGTGCTGATGAACGTGAAATTATACCTCATCATTAAATACCAGATTGCACATCGTTATCGTCTATCATGAAGCACTAATCTGTGGCATGGTTGCGAGATTTTACTTGAGTAGTTGCAACGACTCCGTGTTAACCAAAGTATCACCGTCCCCCTCAGAATTGCAGACGCCCCCTACAGAGTTTTCACCTGGCACCGGCCCTGTGCATGCTGCATTGACGGAAGAACACTCATCGCGAGCATCGTAGTCGATGGCAATGAAACTACTGCTTCTGGTGTGGCTAAGATGTTATTAATTAAAGCTACGGCTTGGCTTAGTGCTTGTTGCGGTTGAGGTTAATTTCTTTCCCCCATCTTGGAGCGAAGCAGAAAATGAGAAAGCTTGTTTATAAATTTTCTCAGCCAATCACATTGTGCCACTTAGACGGACCACATACATTTGGCCATAATTCACCTCTCAAATACACAAAAAATGCTCTCACATTCTCCATTTTACCCCACATTCAGTAGTTTTACCTCTCACATACACATAAAATACATTCACATTAAGTAGTTTTGCCTCTCACGTTCACATTGTGAAAGAGTGTTTTCTGTGTATGTGTGAGGTAAAACTACTGAATGTGAGTGCGTTTTGTGTGTATGTGAGAGCAATTTCTGTGTGTATGAGAAGTTTGAGTAATGGCCTAAACGGCACCTTATGAGTATGTTCTATACATATCACACAACATATTTTTAGATGTGGGATGCTATGCATAAAAAGGACCAGGGTGTTTGCATAGATTTTATTGTGTCTTCATCGAGACAATAAGTTACAAGACCAATCTGTCTAGCCTGTTTGGTTGCTAGTAGCTAACTGATTCAAGGATGTTATTCAGCCATTTTTTGGTTCTCCTAGGGTACCAGCTTCAATAATATGACAGGTCACTTTATTTCACACTCTCACAATCCTTAGTTTAAAACATTTAAGTTTTTAAAACATTTAGTATATTCCACTTATGTACTCTTGTTTCACATGTGATTCTGAAATCTGTCAATTGAGATGAAATTATGACGATGCCTTTGAAGATTTAAAACATTCAGATCACATCTCCTTGTAATCGTATTCAAGGGAAGGATGAAAAAAAGAAAAAAAACATAAGACGCTTGAAAAATAAAAAAATAAATTCTCTAAGCCAGTGTAGGACATTCCTTTGAGTCTGAAAATGTATGTTGTTGATCTAGTCTGGACTGATTCCAGAGCAGGAATATCTTCTTTTGTAAGTTGGTAATTAAGTAGGGAAGGAATAAACAACAACAGAATGCTTGGGTGCAAAATGTGAAATTGACATCAAGCTAATTTAATCTATAGTTTTACAATGTTTTACTTTTACCTCATTTAGATGGTTATGTTTAGTTATGTCACTGCACCACAGGAATGAATTACACCTTTAGAATGTGTTCAAAAGGGAGCAACAAAAATTGTTTCTGCTCTGAACGGATTTGTTATGTACAGACAGGTCAAAGAAACTGAATCGCTTCTCTCTAGACTGAGAGGAGATGTGGACCAAGCATATAGATTCTAGAATTCTAAAGGATATAGAAAGGGTCAAGGAGACTACTTCAGACTCAGCAGCACTCTAGAACAAGATTACAGGTGTATAGTAGAAGGGATATCAGCTAGAAACTCTTTGTACTATACATAAGGAGCTCTGGGTATCTAGATATCTAGTGGCTGAGACACAGACTCTGGACCTGTTTAAGCAGCATCTGGATGAAAGTTTAAATTTACTTAGCTACAAAACAGACTCTCATTTGCAGCCTCTCTTATATTCTCTTTTTGTGTAAATTAGAATTAATCAGATGTAAAATAAATTAACACAGTGGTTCTCAAACTGTGGTATGCATACCAGTTGTGGTACGCGGAGCGCCGCCAGGAGGTACGCCATATGACCCTGGAACTTTGTTGTGTACACTGAAAAATTGGAATGATTTTCATATTTTCTATTTTAATAAAATAAGTTTGTGTCAAATACACAGCCTACGTACTACGATACAGTGCACACTAATACTTGAGTGGACACAAGAGCTACAATATAATTCTATTCCATTCTATTGGAATGCGTGCTATGAATGTAAGTGGCCAACTGTATTTAAAAAAAAGTTAGCTCCAGCAAACAGGGAGGTAGGAGAATGTGCGGGATTTTGGAACAATGCCAATGTAGTAAGCACAGTAAGAAAGTATAGAAATGTGTACTACGAACGCTGGCAATCTTATGAGCATAGGAAAGTGTGATAGATAACAGAAAAATATTTAAGAACTGTTCTAGGTTAATTTTAGAAAAATACAGAGCATCTCTGTGTTTCGCTCCCATGCGCATGAAATGCAAACTTCTTTTAACTTCTGAGACGGATTCCTGAAATGGAAACGGGGAACAATGAAAGCTTGCGGATTGCTAAAGCAGGTAAGCCCCACATTATTTCTGAAGAACTTTGTTTACCATTGGCAAAAGAGCTGACACACATTATGTGTGGAGAAAAAGCTGCCCAACGGGACCTGCTGCCCCCTCCGAAAGACACAGTCACTCAGAATTATTGATATGGCGGATGATGTCAAAAGTACGCTGATAGAGCGCGTTAAGACGAGCAGATGATTTTCACTGCAATTAGTGAAAAGCTAATTTTCACTAATTTTCATCGGCGGAGCAGTGGCTCTGTGGCTAAGGATCTGAGCCTGTGGCTGGAAGATTGCCAGTTCAAATCCTGCAGCCGGCAGATGAATCCTACTCCACTGGGCTCCTGAGCAAGGCCATAAACCCCAACTGCTCCAGGGGCGCCATACAATGGCAGACCCTGCGCTCTGACCCCAGGCTCTCTCCCTATCTGTGTGTCTCATGGAGAGCAAGCTGGGGTATGCAAAAAGATAATTCTTAATGCAAGAAATTGTAAATGGTTAATAAAGTGATGTTATTATTATTAGATGAGTCTGTAAATGTCGTTATTTTGGCCAACTTGCACGTTTACGTTAGATACAAGTTTGAGGGCATGTCCCATGAGGACTTTCTATTCTGTAAGCTGCTACCAACAGGAACTACAGGAGAGCACATGTTTCAGCTTCTGAATTAATTTATCGAAGAGAATGGCATCGACTGGATAAAATGTGTCAGAGTTTGTACAGATGATGCAAGAGCGATGACAAGCCGACACAGCAGTGTAGTTGCACGAATTAAGAAAGGTTGCTCCAGATATGAATTGCAGCATCCACCGCGAGACCTTTGCTTTCAAGAAAATGCCTGACGATTTAAAATCTGTAAGACTCTATTGTAAATTGTATCAAGGCTTGACCAATGAATTCACCTTTGTTTTGCTCGACTAAACACGCTCACCCCTCTCACTGAAATGGTGCTTTTTTTACTGTTTATTTTTAATTGTTGTTGTTCCTGTTTTTTTCTGTAAAGCACTTTAAGAAGCCACCTTTAAAGGCGCTATATCAAATAAAGTTTATTATTATAATATTTATTATATGTGTATCTGAGCGTGTGCACGCATGTGCACTCATGTTGGTCATTGAGATTTTCTGTGGTTCCTATGAGAAGATGACCTGTAGGTGGTACTTGGATTCTTTGGTTTGATCAGGGTTGGTACTTGGTCCAAAAAGTTTGAGAACTACTGAATTAACATATATTAACAAAAGTAGTGGAGTTAGAAGTTATTAGATTTTGTAAGTTACATCATTACTGGTAACTAAGTTATTCAAGGACCAACACAGTACTTATTAAAGGTGTTAATGTCCTAGAAGACCAACATATTCACACTGTTGTAAGAGCACTTTACATATATTAGATTCAAAACAAATAATGAACTGTAAAAATAGAGTTAAATAGTACAGGAAAAAAAATATTTTCAGCATACATTATTGAAGGATGAAAAAATTCAGCATACAGTATTAAAGGATGTTTTACAATTAGCAAAACCTAACAAGATATCATATCAAATACAGCAATGAATCATAGGATCTAAAAGTTTATTATTTACAGACAATGCAGTCCTTGTGTTTATCTGTTTAGTTTAATACTTTTTTTGATACCAAAAAAACACAATAAGACTATAAAGCTTCACTGGAATCTTTAACAATAGTGATTCAGATGACCTATAATCAGCTAATTAGTGTTTTTAACATTTCCAGCTTTAAGAGGATGTTTTCCCCATTCTCTACAAAAGATAATGCAAACTGCATTATACCTGTCAGCTGTTTCTGAGTCTCAGTGCAGTCTGTATCCCTGAGCAGTCTCACAGCTTCAGTAATCCCACTGCATCTTTTCACCTCCAGCTTATTGGTGCTGTCCTTAAACACGAGGTTGCGAAGGGCTGCAGAAGCTGTCTGCTGAATTTGAGGGTTGGAGCTTTGAAGCAGACTGATAAGACTGGGGATTCCATTAAGCCTGTAAACCTGACATAGGAAACACACCTTAGGATAAGGTTTAGGAAATGTGACCCTTGGGGCCCTTAAATTACCTTTTTTTTTAGACCAAACTTTTAAATGCTGTATATAAATGAACACTTAACTCAACTAACACTATACTTAAGTAAACATTTTAGAAATAATTTTGAGTTATTTAATTGTGTTCTAGATTCAAAGTGCAATTGTATACAATTGAACATACACATTAATATACAGATATGGAATATAATAATGATAATATACAGAGATGTAAACTATTTAAAAAGTCTCTTTATATTCATAACGAAAATAATCACTGAGGCAAACAAATTAGGTTTTTCCTCTGATATTCAACAAAAAACACAAAGGCACATTTCTCACACTACATACTGCACTACATGACATCACGCCACAAGACGGTAACTAGCACTTATTCACTGATTCATTAACAATAGCATTCATTTATAGTACAGATTTTTAAAACTACTGCCAGAAATCAATGTTGCAATGAGTATGAATTCACTCTCTCCTCCTTTGTATTAACTCTCCCCTACCTCCTGTATTCTCAGCTCTATTCCATGTGGCCATACACCCCCTCAGTGCCCAGAGATTCTTACCGGTCAGGGAAATTAAGCTGTCAAGAATTGCTCAGAGATGAGAGGTACTTTTAAAGGATAGGGCCTAAGGCCAATGTTATAATAGGTAATGTTTAAAAATAACTTTTAACAAATTTTCTTCTGATTGATCTATTAACTTATTGCATACATGTCTGTCAGATGTGGGAAACCACTTGTTTTTATTCTATCAAGTTTTAAACTAGTGTATTTTATTTTTAAGCCAGATTTGAACAAGCCATGTCTTAATAAATGTTGCTGCTATACAATTACTTCCAGCTGAGTTGAACTACATTAGCAATTAGTCTGTTCAAAAAAAAAAAATGTTTTTAGAAGGTGGGTGGGAAAAGGTCTGGATTCAGCTTTTTTCCTATTTGAAACAGATTCCCAAAATGAGAGGTGAATTCCTGTATAATCTTATGTAAAATATAAATTGAAAAGGTAAAACTGCACACATTTGTACTTGCAGTAAAAAAGGTGAATTTAAATATTTTCAAATGTACTGTATCAGGATTGAGGAAGCACATATATTTCATTTATATGTATGATTGATTTCCATCCATTGTTAAAAAGCTGTTAGTTATATACTGTTAATTATATGGTTAGTGTCTAATTAATTTGCATTTATAGCTAAAAGGAATTCTCACTACAATTTGTTTGTTTTGTTTTGTTTTCTGGAGGATAGGTGAGAATGATCTATCACTTGAGTCAAGTGTGACATACAACAGCAGCAGTCTGATTCACCTCTTGCTTTGCCTTGTCATCTTTGAAGGTGGCGTGTTGGATGAAAGACGAACCACAGTGTTGGTAGTTTTCATCTCTGCTAGACAGATACTCCACAGCTTCTTGCATGGTTATATCAGCTTGTGTCACATCCCCATTTATTCTGTCGGCCACAATAAAAATAGAAATGATAAAAAAATGGTATTGTAGAAACTAAATGAATATTTTTTTATAAAAATTAATTATAACACAGTGTTGCTGAAATACTGTAGGTAAGATATTGTAATGCCCTGTCCTTAGCACAGGAGGGCTCTTTACTCACCCAATCTGCTCAGATTTGCTCTTTGTTACAGATATTTTTGACCCTAGCTTGCTCGAGTTGACAGAGGGTACTCTGAAGCGAGGCTGGCTGGGGCTTTGTTGATAAGAAGGGCTCTGTACAGTTTGCACACTGCTCCGATTGGTTTTGACATTGACTGTTGCACTGCGAACTGCTGGCCTTTGGATTGTGGAGAAAACCGCCAGTTCGGGATCGCTGCGGCTAGGCTTTAGTACTGGATTGCCACTGGGTGGACTGGCAGGCAAGAAGCCAAACTCCCTCTGGCTTGAGGAGCTCACAATTCTCCTTGTTGTAGTCCTGTTTTGAAATGTGTTTGGAGGGAAGCTCTTTTGCTGGCTTACCTAAAAGCAATAATAAAACATTATTTCTTCCAGTTAGTCTTCATTCAGGGTAGATAATTCAACTGCTTAGGATACATTCTTTAAATGTTTTATTCAGTGCTCTCCAACTTGACTGTAGTATCCAAAATTTCAGAATGATGGTTATAAATGCCACTAATTAAGACTGCATAATGGTATCTCATGTCAAGTGATATTTACAGCTCTTATAACAATCTAATATTGGCAAAATTTGTTAATACTTTCTCTTGGACTCTGGTCATACACAACAGTTTTCTTGTAAAGTGGCAAATAGAAGAAGTACTAAAACAGATCACAGGTCATTATTAGGCAGCTATTCTTAAAATATTAGGAAGAGTAAAAACAACACAAAAATCTGAATTGCAGTTTCAACTCTTTTGATAAAAGACATTGACGTAAAGGCAACTCACACCCCCTGACTCAGAGACATAGCACATGCTAGACTAAACTAGCGGCTCCAAACCAGTCTTCGGGGACTACAATCTGCAGGTGTTCATTCAAGCTGAACTGAATCACCAGTTCACACTGACTACTTTAATTGATCTGTTTGCTTGGCTAGACTTCTATTTAACACATTTCAAAACTCAGTCCTAAATTTAACAAAAAAATCCTAGCTCCAATGTTTTATTTCTCCCAGTTTCTTAAAGTTTAAGTAACCTTTTCTCAGTCTGCTTACACTCATTTCTGACTATCGCTTTTCTTACCACTTTATCAAATACAGATTCATGAGGGACCAGAGCCTATCCCAGCAAGTAATGGTTGCAAAGCAGGATACAGCCTGAGCAAGACACAAGTCTATCACTGGGCACACAATGACACAGACACAAACATGCACAAATTCTCCTGGGACGATTTTCCAAGAAGACAATTAACCTACCAATATGTCTTTGAACTGTGGGAGGAAACACCCGGAGGAACCCCACAGAAATGCAAGGGGAATATAAAACCTCCACGCAGATAGCACCCCAGGAATTGAACCTAGGGGCCCAGCGCTGTAAGACAGCAATGCTAACGACTGTGCCACCCTGCCACTCCTTATTTCTGACTAAACAGTTTCTGACTAAACAGGTGATCAATTAAAAAGACACAAATAGGAATGATGCTGTATTGGACACTCCCACAATAAACATTTATTCCTTTTGCAGAGGTCCATCTGGTTATATTTCAAGTACCTCAATTATGGCACTTCTGAAACTCAGAAATTAGTAAAGGGTTGCTATCAATTCCAAATCCCATTTGAAAATTGAGCTGAAAGAATTATGCCCAAAATTAAAAATATCTTAATTAACCTGTAATTAATAAATTGGAGCAAAAGCTAGCAGCTACAGTGGTCCTCAGAACTAGTGATAATGTTAGAACCAGTGACCTCTATCATTTTTGATCTATGGCTGTTACGCTGCTGTACCACCTGAGAATCTACAGAGCAATGCAGCTGTTGAAGCCCATTAGTGCATGAAGTGGTGCTATTTTATCCATATAAGAACATATGATCTGTTACAAATAAAAGGGGGCTAAGCCCACCATCTAGCCCATTTAATAGTAGCTTGTTCCATACTCCTACAACCCTTTGCAAAAATGCTTCCTGTTCTCACTTTTAAGTTCAGAATGCAGATGTGGTCATGCTAGAAGTAAACTTTTGGGGGTCTGGCCAGATTCTGTGGTTTGCGTGTCATGAACAGTCTCTTTTTCCAGAACCCTTTTTAGCACTTCAAATGCCGTTTAACTTCTCACTACAATTCCCATTTGGGGGTATTACTGGTAAATTTGCTCCCATATCATAAATGACACTCCTGGTTTCATAGAGTCTTGATTAAAGTATTCAAACACAAGGAGCTACTTTATACTCAACAACAGAAAAATATGCACAAGACGAAATTAAGAGATGAATTTAGGACTGAAAATGGTACACACTTTTTTAGACAGTCACTGGTGTCTGGAACAAACTGCCCAGATATGTTGTTAAAGACTCTATGATGAATACTCTAGTATGAACTGGAAGGTTGTGAATTCAAATTTCAAGAGAGACACTGCCCTTTTGTACTTTAGCAAGATACTTCATTTACAGTAGTAAAGGATATGTAGTAAAATATTCTATTATCTAAATGGGCGGAAATATAAGTTGCTTTGGACAAAATCTCCAGCAAAATAAATAAGTACACTCTCAGGTTACTAGTAAGACAGCAACACATGTGGCCTGTAGGGTCTCATTTCCTTTTGTATCTCTTCTTATATTCATTGTCTTAACACTAACCCATGATGATAAAGTCTTAGTTCAGAAATGTATGAAACAGTACGACTGTACTTATAAAAATCATTGGAGAAATATTCTGGGAAATACTCCAAACAGCTTAAACAGTTAAATTGACTATCAAATACAAATAAGAAAAAAATAAGAAGTGAAAGTTAAGTAAGCAAGCAAACAAGCATGGCAGCTTAGTAATACTGACAAGCAAAACTGTGAAGAGGCGTGTTCATTTACAGCCCTGAAGGAGAAGGCATGCAAAGGCAAGTATAAAAAGCTTCCAAACAGCCAACGCCCTTTAACTGCATTGTGTTTTCTGAATCTCGAAGCTTTAGACTTTGTGTCTTAGAATTACACTCAGTCCTGTTCTGGATTTTTGTGATCTCAACTGCAATGATTTCTTGTTTTTACAATGAGCTCATCCTTATTCTCATGTTGCATTATTATCCATTATTAAAATGGGTAAGAGAATATGGCATATTAAAAAAAAAACTTTGGGAATAAAAAATACATTATGTTTTTAACATGCAATGACATAACTGTTTTCTGTAATTAATATAAATGGTATACTGTATGTAATTACATTAAAATATTTATAGTGAAATAGAGTAATTATAAATATTGAATACTGAGTGGCATTTAAAAATCTGTACGAGTTTAAGTATAAACATCTTTAAAGCACGTTATCAGCTACACTACTACTATTATAAAAACACTGAACTATACTGTATATGATAAAAGCACAATGAAGAACAAAGTCTTAATGTTCTACTTAAAGCTTTTGGGACATGCAGGGAAGATTGGAATCTTCACTCACACTTCTGATATGACACAGTCAAACAATGCCTTTATTCATACAAGTCCAGTGTTTACCCTCACTTAACCTTGTCATTATTCATTCTGCAATGAATCAGAAAAGGTGCCGATGAAGTCATTGTTGTTCCCATTTTGACATTTTTGCATGTATTCTTCTAATAATGGCTGCCTGGCATTGAGGAAAAAGTGACTCTGCTGGCTACCGTAGCCAAGAGAGATGGGATCATGCAGATGATGTTTCTGACTCAACTACACCAACACCCAGCCCAGTGTCCTGTAGTGTGAGAACTTGCTTTTGACTCACACAGCTCTATAAATGTTCCCATTCCACAATGACTCACAGATGTTACTTGCTATGAGCCCGTCTACAGGAGGTCATAACATATTTTATCCTCTTGATTTCATGCTTGTACATATTCTGTATGGTCTTTTTAGAAATATTATTTTTTAAAATAAAAACAGAATCAAGCCCAGAAAGTATCTGATAAGCAGAGAAGACGTTAGTTGTGACCACAAACTAGTGAATTTATTCAAGAAAAGTAACAAAAAATGGAGAATAGGTCAAATACAAGCCGATACAGATATCAGATTAGTCTCTATCACAAAGTCTTTACAATTTACAATAACTGCCTTGAGGGAAGTTGAAAATAAACTGGTGTAACTGACCATGCACAGAGAACACAGTAACATGTCAGCATTCTCAGGCTAAACAAGTCAGTCAATCACTATCAAATGGGAGCATCATGCATCAATATAGGTGTGTCTAAATAAATTATATCTAGCACCTTTTAAAAATAATTCACTATACATTAATGCCATATAGTTTCTCATTCTAATAAATACTCATTGGGTGGCTATTAAACTTCTGCTGTCAAAGAATATACTGTAGCAGACTTTACAGATTTAATTTAAAAAAATCAATATGCTTCAATAAACATGAATGGAAATCACTTAAATCACTTTCAATACACACCTGCTTCAGACATGATAATCCATTTATTCATTCTGACAACTCTGTAACATCCATCCATTTTATAATGGTTTCTTCCAATTCAAGGTCATGGGGGAACCAAAGCCTATCCTGACAAGCAATCGACACAGGGCAGAGTGCACCCTGACCACACCACACACCAGCCCATCACAGCGCAACCACACAGAGAAAAAAAAAAAGAAACAAACACACACACACACATATAGGAACATTTTTTTTTCTAGAAACCAATAAACTGAACAATATGTCTTTGGACTATGGGAGGAAACCAGTGCAAACACAGGCAGCACACAAAATATCCACACAGACACAACCCCAGGTCTGGAATTAAACCCAAGGCCTCAGCATTGCAAGCCATTAATACTAATCACCGTGTCACTGTGGCACCCCCCAACTCTATAACATGATCACATTAACTATTCGTAGTGTTTCTCTGTGGCCAAAACTGGGATTTGATCCATTGTCTCTTAAGCGTCTGAGTAATCTGACACACTCAGCCCATACCGTACATGCTAAACGGTCTGTTACTGGGTGTGACGATCTTAAATGCTGTTAGTGGTCCTGGACAGTGATATGATTGTCGTCTTACACTGAGGCTTATTCCAGTTCCATAATGGTGCACCAAAACAACACAACAGACATCTTGAACACCTGAAATGTTGAAACTACAAAAAAGTTAAAAAAATTATATCAAACACTGTTCATTCAATGCTAAACCTACAATTAATTCACTTAACAGCACATTGCCAATAGACAGTGAGGAATCAGAACAAAACACTTTGTATAATTTACTGCAAATATAAATAAGTTACCATATTTTTAATAAACCCTTAGCTTTCAGTCTGGATGGATCCAAGGACAACTCCATAAACACGCAATGGTTTTGAAAGTAAAGTGGATATTTTAATGTTTTAGTTTAAACTTGTGGTTGCATACTTATTGTAAATTTTAACAACTATTACCCTGATTACTGAATGGTACTTTGAGTAAAAATATCTCCCTTCTGTTTTTCCTTTTGTTAAAACTTCCTAAATACTGTAGTACACATATATGGAAAATCCTCAGGATTAAGAAATGTGAATTAAATAACACATGGCCTGGTTAAAATCATTTCAAGCAGACGATTTTTTTAAACTGAACTCAGTCAAACAAAGCTTTTTATTGACTTCAGCCACACTGGTGCAAAGAAAAGCTCTTTGCTGCATATAATACCAAAGTATTATGCACACAGGCGCTAACCACACAATAAACTTAATATATAAAGCATTAAGGCCATTAAATCATGAAGTAAACTCACAGCATCAACATTTGCAGCCAAGCACAAAATAGGGCATATAAAGTCAGAACTGCTTCTTTGATAAACCATGATAAATTGTGATTTTTGCTTTACAGTTAAGCAAATGTGTATTTATGACCATGAGATTAACACAAATGATAGAAGTTATCAAACATTTTTGGTTTTTTGGATATATTTTATTTTTGGTTAATTTCATGCATACATTTGGTAGCTTTTCAGAGTACAAAAATCAATATTTGGTTGCATAAATGAGACAGTAACTGCATGAATTGAATTCTGTGACTCAATGAGGTCAGCACACTCTTTGTGTAATCTGAAATGTTGCTAAGCCTTTTCTGCACCCACTTTGAATTCGTCTCTATTTTTGGGAAGTTCTGACTTGAATTCTTTCTTCAGCATGTAAAAATGGATTTGCATGTCTAATTGGATTTACATCTGGAGACTGAATTGACCAGTGTAAGATTTTTCATTTATTTTTTTCTGATGAATTTCTTGGTTATACCTACTGTATATGTTTTTTGCCATTGTCATACTGTGTGGTGATATACCGCTCAATAACTATGGTAGCATTTTCCTTTTACAGAAGCAGACAAAATACTTCTAGAACTTTATTCAGTACTCTATAGGCTCATATTCAAACTTTGAACTTTGTCTTTGTTGATAATGTACAGTAACTAAGGATGACAGCACCAGAATTTATCCTAAATTTTACATAAATATTTTGTCTGTAAGGGCAACACATCTTAAAATTAATTCTAACATAGTATTTATATTGTCCAGTGGCACAGTGGAGCAGTGGTTAGCATTGCTGCCTTGCAGCACAGGAGCTCTGGGTTCATTTCTGCATGGAGTTTGTATGTTCTTCTTGTGTTCCCATGGGTTTCCACCCACAGTCCAGATCCATACTAGCAAGTTAAATGGTTTCTGGGGGAAACTGATCCTGGTGTGAATGTGAATAGGTGTGTACTATGTGTGCCCTGTAATGGACTAGCATCCCATCCAGGGTGTATCCCTTGCTCCTATTGCTTGTCAGGATAGTCTCCAGCCACTTTATTTTAAGCCACTCCAAATTTAAATTGTAGCTTTGACCTTATGCATTGGATAATTTGTCCTGCTGAAAGGTATTTGTCCCAACTTTATGGTCTAAAGCACGTTTTCCTCTACTATTTGACAGTACTTTGTTCACTCTATGCCCCCACCAGTCTTGATAAGCTTCCTAATCTCTGTTGATGAGAACCAAAACTCTGAAATAATGCTTTGGTTACACACAGTGACCACTAAGCTAACAAACCATGTTCTTTTTTATCTTCCTATAAAATAATCTCTAAAAATCTACAGAATTTATATCAATATTAGTGCAGGTTTCACATCCCATTAGAGATTTTTTGGGTCAAAGTATGTTAAAGCAATTAATAATTGTTTGACTTGAAATTTAAATTTGTATATACCTCCTTCTTTTGTTTGATTATTTTGTTGTTCAACAGTTTGAGATCCACTATGGAAAACACTACTGCTATATAAAATAAAAACAAATAAGTAAAGTAATAATATTATTAATAATCCAACACAGAGTGTCCTTTGTATATTACTTGGATACTGGATATGATATTTAAATCACAAATAAACAATCCAGGCAGCAAATGCAAACAAAAAACAATTCAATCTTGTTGTTTTCCATCATTAAAGACTAGCAGAGATCCTGTCTATACAACAAAGCAACAAAAAATCTTTCCATTTATCCATTTCAATACCTTAACAGTAAACATCAAAGCACTGTATTTGTATTATTTGAGTCTTGTATTTTTAATAAACTATTATATTGTCTCATTATTAGAAAGTACTTACAAGTACACTTCTATGATAGGTCACTCTATAAAAATTATGTACAGAAGACATTGAAGGAGCAATTTTAAACGTAATTCATATAATCTTCATTATACACGTTTTTTTTTCCCAATTCTTACAGAAATTAATTGATGTCTTGCACATGACATTTACTCTCTGGAACTTCAAAGACAGTTTCTACAAAGATACAGTATTTGCCATACATGTCACCTCTTTAAGTTATTTTTTTTAATTATAAACATTACTGAAACATTGACCATGTGCATGGATACAAAAAAAAACTAAAGGAGACAAAACTGCAAAAATGTATATATTTAAAAGTATACTGTATTAAAGTAACATGAACAGATTACAGTACACATAAAAGATAACAGAATAACGAGAAAAGTAATTACCAGTCTTCCATAGAAAGAGTTCCCACTTGCTGTGCTTCTAGATAAAGTGCTTCCATTTATCTTTTGTGGATTGAACTTAAATGAACCAAATCCATTTATTTTGGACTGACTTTCAGGACCTGGTGAAAAAAATAAAGACAAGGACATAGTGATACACAACATTAGATGAACACTTTCATTACTGAAAATGTTGCAAGTTCTAGAGTTAACCTAGCAAGATGCTTTTTTAGATATTGCGAGAATGTTAAAAAAAAAAAAACATGTGGAGTTGGAACATAAAATGGTACTAACCCTGATTAAGAGACCAACATTCCAAAGAAAAAAACATGTTTTACCAGTACCAGTGTCCTCTTCTGTAAATACTCTATATGTATACTCAGTGTAGAAACTGGATGGGGATATATTCCCTTAATTAAAAGTCTCTCATTCCCATAAAAAGTTTCTAGTCTGGTATACTATTCTCGAGCTACAGATCAGAGTAACAGTGGACTAAAATAATGTTTACTTTGGTACAAAATAGTAACAAATAAAAATAAACTTAATCTTCTCATCTTTAAGGCTCAGATTCTAGCACTGCAAAATGCACATTTTACTTATTTGCAGTAGTCACTTCCATTGGAAAATTATCGCTTTCAAAATATTTACTTTAATGGTACTTTTGCTCAATTGTTTCTCAAAATACAAACAATTTTAAATACCAAAATTACACTGAAGAGGAATATGTCTTTAGCACATCTATTTGTCTCTAGAACACAAAGCTCTGAATACCCCCTGTAATAGTGTGAACGTCTGCTTCTACAAATATATATTATTTCTAATAAACGTATACTCATAACCTCATAAGACTGTGGTTGTATTAAAGTAATAAAAGTAATAAAAGTAATAAAACTGTAGATAACCTAATACACATCTATTAGTGTCTTAACACATACTTGTGAGCTCTGTAATGTCACAATCAACATTTAAGTTTCACATTATATTTTTATATGCAGAGGCAGGAGTTTGTATGTTCTCCCTGAGTTCCGATTGGTTTATTCCCACAGTCAAAAAACATACTGATAGTTTAACTGGCTTGTGGGAAAACTGGCCCTGGTTTGAGTGTGCGTGTATCTGCGTTTGTGTCTATGTGTCTGCCCTGTGATGAACTGGCGTGTATGGATTGCAACTGTTGGTCATTGTGATTGGTTCCGGACCCCCTTAACCCTGATATGGAAGAACAGGTAAAAAGATGAATGGATGGATTATGTTTTCATTTTTTCCTCACAAAATAACCAGTCTTGTGCAAACATCATGGTGTAATCAGTGCCCGGTGTTTAAGTGGAATATTATTATTATTAATAGTATTATTAAATAAATAATAAAGCAGGTCAAATATAACCAATTAGCAATCTTTTTTCCCACTATGTATAAGAAACAATTATACTTCTAGACTTCAGAACATTATAAATCAAGTGCTTTTGAATGACTGGATACAATGCCAATTCACACATGCTACTATGAGTGAGGTGCATGAGCCAGAGCACAATCATTATTCACTCTTACAAAAGAAATAGCATTTCCAATTGACTTGTGCCAGAACCAAGTAATGTAAGGAAACTTTATTTCAAATTACAGTTTTGTTGCAGACATTTAATCTAACACCATTATCCTAAATTTATGAAAATCAAAAATAATCACAATATGCTTTAGTTCAGACAAACTCTGTATTAGATAAATATGATTGACACGTTTGTTTGCTATTAAACAAGATGTCCACATTCCCCTACCAAGGTGAAGCAAAGGGCTCCTACAGTGGGAATGGAATGGAGTGGAGGAGCTTCGCTGAGCAAGTGAAGTTCACTCAAGTGAGAAAACTGACTTGATAACTCTTATGGCAGAGGTAATGGGAAAAGGTGAACAATCTTTCTCCCCAGACTTACATTTTAATACATGGTGTATGTTAGCCTGACAGTTTAAATAACGCAAAAAGAGCTGCAATGTTCAGACATATGTATTTCACTTTGTGCTCACTTTTGGGATACCATTACAAGAGCTAGACTATAGTTTAGCTACTTTGGTAGAAATAATAAGAACAATACAATCAAATTGCTCAACTTAGGATCACACATTTGTGACATGGAGACGTGTGGCTTTGCCCAAAGTTAGATAAAGCACAGCTGGGTAATAATTCTTTTCAACTGTTCCTTTAATTACTGCTTCATTTTATGTAAAAACGTTCCTTTCTTTGATAATGGAATTTGACAAGCTGCTACCTGTCAACCTGTTCTAGTTTCACACATTAGAACATGTTTTGCTGTAAATTCTGAATTATTTTCTATGTGTATCAGTAATTTGCAGTACAACTTAATAAACTATTACTATTAGATAATATACACCGAGATAAAAAAACTCTTGTTTCCAGTTTCATTACTTCTCTCACAGTTCTTTTAAACGGTTTTAATGACTTAAATATCAGTGTACTTCATGGGAGTCTAATTCAAAAGTTGATTTGAATAAAATTCTACATTCTCCTTTAACTGATTCTAATGAATTATCTGCATGTTTTTGCTACAAACATATAAGAGTCTCAATTATGTCAAGTTATACCCCCAGAGTGATAAGTATTCAGTTTTGAACTAGCCTAGATTTTAATTTCTTGGATTTGTACACAATAAAATAACACACTTTTTCCTTTTACCTTAAAAAAATATTTCTGAAAGGTTGAACTTTTTAGATTTTACTCATCAAGATCTTGTGCTACCACTCAGATTGCCTTCATCATCACATTTAAATGTGATTTAAATACATTTACATTCTTTATATATGTAGTGGATAGGCTCATTAATAATACAGGAATTATTAATAATACAGGAAGTTTGCTGCTCCCTTGCCAGCCTTTCTCTTCCTCTTCTCAGTGGTGCTGGACACAGAGAGAGAAGCCATTCCATTTGCTTCAGATTTAAGGTGTTTTTCTAGCTAATAGAGTTTCCTGATAGGGAACAACTCCCAAGGCTGAGATTCTCCAGCCACCCTAATAAATGGTCATCTCTGGCGCCTTACTGTCTGGGAGATTCCTTGGGAGAGTCTCATCCCAGGTTGTTTACAACCCTAATGCCAGAGAGCATTGTTACTCATCCTCCACTTCGATCAGCCAATCAGGAACTGGTAGGGCAGGGTAACCCCACGTGGGTCTCGAATGCCCGTGACATTTTCAACCAATGAACAACCATAGTTCCTCCAGATAAAACAGGCAGCACAAGGCCCAGAAGGTGGCTCCTCCAGGACATTCTCAGAGTCAGCTCGGACAATCACGTGACGGCCAGTATGTCCGAGTGCCAAGTCTTTACTTTGTTCTAAGAGTCGAGAATGGAAGTCGTCTGCGCGTAACCAAAGAATCCGCCTGAGGTTAGACCAGCAGCAAGCCTCGTGAACTGCTGGTACCCCAACGTGAACGCTCACCTGATCAAAAAGTGAACTATGGTCGGAACTGTCGACAGCTAGCATTCAGGACTAGCGCTAACCGGTCTTCTTCCTGTCTAAAGCGTGTGCACAAACTCTGCTAGTTCAGCCGGGACTAACTAACTACTTCAGCGAGCCCACTGCCAGCGCGCCACAGCAGAAATCTCTCCCTCTTTCTCCCACACCTCACGCTGAACCAGGACTGAACCAGGGCCAGAGGATGTCGACTGGACGCAGCAACAGCCTGCCGCTGTTCCCTTGTGTCCGCGGGAGATCCGAATCCACATTGGATGAGTATTCAACATTCTGCATTACAGCTCGAGAATTCAATTGTTACCTCAACCCAAATTGCTATCAATTTAATTCCTATGAGTGATGTACTTGCCTTTCAGTATCTAGAAGTTGTAATCAAAGTTCATTAATGAGACTGTATAAATGAATGGTATACTGAATGTATGCCCCCCTTGGTATTTGTATTTTGCTAACCCTCACTCTTAAGATCTGTTATGTTTATATGCACATTTTATGTATTAATAAATGTATTGTCGTGTATCAGTATCCGTGTGTGTGTCTTCCGAGTTATTCCGCAAGGTCGGTTTTCTAATAGCCATCAAAGAATCATTTTGTAACCTACTGCTACAATTAATAATTGTCCCAGTAAATGCACTATACCCCTACATACAGTATATAAGGACATAAACATTTTCATTTCATTTTATCAGGTGAGTCTCAGGCTCTTTATACATAACAGGATTCCTATGATAAGACATATTCTGTAAATAATCTATACATTGTAAAATATTGCAAAAAACAAAGGGGAATTCTAAAGTTTATTCTTGTCCTTACTAGGGAATGTTCCAATTCTTTGAAACAAAGGACAGAGCCATTTTTTATGAAGGGACACATTAAAAGTAGATTTTATTATCCATTTCTTCTTTAAGTAATTAACATGATAACAAAATTCAGATCCCTCAACAAATGAGTAAATCAATTGACTTTTTACTGGTAACCATTGAGAATGCTTACATATAACTACAGTATAGGAAAAAAGGCAGTGAAAACATCATAATTACTAGAACAATATTTATATCTTTTGATTGTTTCTCGAGTATAATTATTCATGTTATAACAACTGTTACACTAAGAACTAAAATATATTGTTACCTATCTATCTTAAACCATTATCATTGCTGAATGCTAAAAGCATTCCACATTATTATCTTAAGAAGAAATACAAAATTATTGCTTATTGTTAATTAATAACTAGTAATATGTTATACGTGAACTATTCACATACCGTATTTGCCTGTGCTCTGTTATTGTGTTAGATAACATGCAGGCAACTCTTTATTAATCTTCCCAGGAGATCTTTTCTTTCCGTGAGCTGACAAGTTCCTGAGCAAACACAGCATCCACTGGATTATCGTACATGCAGTGCCATAGTTCTAATGTAGCTTACCTGTTGCAGGTCCATCAAAGGGAACACACAGACATGTACACTCACACTATGGCCAGTTTTCCCATAAGCTAATTAACCTACTAGTATGCGTTTGGACTCAGCGAGGAAACCAGAGCACCCACACAATCATGGTGAGTACACGCAAAAATATACTTCATTTTCAAAGAGTGCAAACCGTAAAACATCATTAAGTAATAGACATGTAGCTTTTGAAGACATTTTATCACATTCCTAGTAAGCTAAAGGTGTTTTCTAAAACAATTATACCATTGCTCCTTCTAAGACTCAGGCTGGCACTGTGACTGCTAGAGAACTTTTGTCACAACTACTGTAGACATACGTTTTTACTGGATGACTTGGCCTTTTTTCAGGTATTAACCCATATCTGTCTGTGAAATCCATATCAGCTGTAGACCTTTCCGTGTGAGACATTTTATATACTTTTCTATTCATTCTTACAAACTGTTTTCTTTTGTAGATATCCTTTTGATGGTGGTGAGCACCCTTTCAGAACCATTTACAAAGTAATGTTGTACTTCAATGTAGTAAATACAGTACTGTACATAAATAGTAATTGGAAAAAGTAAAGGAATACACAAAATACTACTTTTCTAAAACAAAACATTAAAAATGTTCACAACCATATGATTACGTTTAGAGACTTGTGAATGTAACTGTTCTTGAGAAAAGGTTACCATACACTTGTTAAACTGGCTGTTTTCATACACATAGACAACATTCATTTTGAGCTACTGATAGTGTGGATTTGTAGAAATGGAGGTGTAGAATGAAAAATTAGATCGCAACTTATGTCAAGGGATGTCATATGTACTGCAGAAAAAGTACATTTATTTACCCTGAAGTCAACAGACTAAAAGGATCATTCGCAGCTGCTTTGGAAAACAAAACACCATATCCCCTCACACCTGAAGAAGGCTCCACGGCTGAAACGTTGTGTTCTCTTTCTTCTTTTTTTCAGCATGGAATAAACCTATTACTTGTTCCTAAGGGTTAATCAGCTTTCACTACAGATTCTGAAGACCATAAGGACTGATCTTCCCCATAGAAAACACTTTTCTGTCTTGCAAAAAGCCAAGGTAGTCTATCCAGAATGTAAACACTCCTCTCCTGAAGAAGGCAGTGTACTGTTCAGGACAGGTCTGTACTGTGCATGATTTTACTGTACTGTACACCTGAAGAAGGCTCCACGGCCGAAACGCTGTGTTTTCTTTCTTCTCTTTTCAGCATGGAATAAACCTATTACTTGTTCCTTTGCAGCCTATGCATGCTGACGCAGCTACCCACCTGAATGATTTTATCTACATCACATTGGAAAATGCGAGTTTTAAATCAGCATACAAAGCTACAGTAAGTCAAGAAATCAGTAACTATGCCACTTCTTGAAATTGGTGTGAAAATGTTCACAATTCTAAACATTAAAAAAATAAACACCCCTTTATAATTATAGTTCACAGTACAGCAACGTAGACTTATACAACAAATTACAGGATGTAGGATGTCCTATTCTAAATTTACTGGCCATTTAAAAATAAATTGTTCACCTACTGTATATTATTTTACCGAATCTGCACCATTAAAGTTTTTTTTTCTTTCAGAAAATAACATTTTTTACACAAGCTTTTACATATTATGTAATGAATCGTGTGACAGATAATTATTATTTAATTTGTTTTAAGCTTCGAACATTGATTAATACAAAAATATTTCTAATAATACATTTGAATTACTGTACATAAACTGCTAGTTTTTATTTAAATTTTATCGTTACTATTATAAAACCTTGGCTTGTCTTTTTTGTGAACAAAAAAAAGGAAAATTAAACCATAAACAAAGCTTACATGTATGTACGCATCAAAAAAAAAATTTTCTGACAAAGAAAATGGAAAGTTAAATTAATAGTATATTCCTTGTGCGTAGATACAGATTTTAAAGGGGACTTTGCATAAGGTGAAATATGTAATATTACAAATAAAAAGATAATTGTGCGCCACAGAAACAGAATTTACAGTTCACATAAAACGACGCATGTAATTTGCAAAAGGGCTTGTCTGTAACCTTAGAAATTGAGGTACCGTTCAGCGTTATTATTTTTCATGACATCCAGAAATGAAAAAAACATTTTGTTTTTTTATCATGTCAGAGCTAATTTAATTCCCTACACAACAACAAATTTTTCGTATTTGTTAAAAATACACCTAGAATGTTTTTATTATATATATATAATTACTGTTGTGCATAAAGGAGGCAACAGCATTTAGATAACAAGAGGAACAATTAGGGGCTATTTTTAAAGACCTTGGCTATAGTTGAAAATCTGTTATTAAATTACTGTATGTATGCAAGCCCTTAAAGTAACTAAAGCAAAACGCACACTGTATTATTACTAAGACTTCACGTGACAACATTTTTGTATGGCTATTTCAAACAAACGTTTGTCATACTGGTATTGCCATTTGTGGGTCTTCCTCTTTAAAATACATACAGGTACAGGTAACTTAAAAA